GTTATTTCCTATTCTAAGTATAGCAAAATACTACTGCAGACACCATGCTGTAGTAACTAATTGACAAATGCTGATGTTTTAATGGTGAGCACTGTATCTGTGATGTTTTCCCTTACATTTCATACACAAAGTAAGATAAAACTTGTACAAAGAGGACTTTATATTTAAGACTGAGAAACGGATGGAATGGTGGCACACATCCCCTACAGAAAAATACTGAACACAAGGCAAGACTTGAATGAATAGAGGATATGGAAATTAATGAAAATTACTGCATATTAGTATATAGAAATGATTTCCTATTCAATACATCTATAGCAATAAAGGTAAATTAACATACAGCACATATTCTCTACTTGTTCCTGGAATTAAGTGTATGGTGCTAGACACTTGTAAACAGCTGCATTACAGAAAATGTACAAGATCAAGATGCTGGAGTAGCAATGGTAGGGACATTTTCCAGTAGACAGAGCCTACTTCTGTGAGTGAGGAATACATGAGAAATATTTTTCCTAAATAAACAAAGAGAATTCATCTTCTGTGTATTCAGAAAGCCGGTGTTTCATAAGCTGTTCTACAGAATATGGGCCTAATTCTACAACCCTTATTCATGTTAGGTTGTTCCAATGAAGTCAATGGCACTATTTCAGCCCAAGCAACGTTCAATGTGGGTAAAGGTGGCAGAATTCAGCAATGTATTTAAAGAAAAGTTTAAAGTGGTGTTTCTATACTTTGTACCTCACTTCTATGCTGTACTATAGTATAGATTTCTATATTGCGTATAATGCTTACTGGATTACATAGACAACAGCTTCTCAAGACTATTACTATGTAAATTTCACACCGTATATACTATTGCCAGAATAAAATGTTCATTTAGGAGGAAAAAAGTTTGGGCAAACTACTTACATACAGTTAAAAATGAGAACCCAAATAATTTCCTTTGGTAAGTTTCTTTCAAACTGAAAGATCAAACATCTTCTTGCAGAAGAAAAGGGTATCCGTACATTTTGCCTCAATTTGGTAAACCAAGAACTGTTAATTTAGCATTAAAACACAAATACTCCAGTTTGAACTTCCTGGTAGGCATATTTTTTGTAAGCAAATAAAACAGACCTCAAATTTTTACAGGCAAATAATTCAAGAACCAATAATATGCTCCTACAGTATGTCTTGTTCTAAAACAATATTAACATTGTAAGCAAGGTAACTGATTGTGAAGTTAGCCAAGATAAAAACATATTACATTGCAGGTCTGAGCCAATAGCCTTTTTGGTGACAATGCGACTACTCATGCAAATAAGAGCTGCAGGACTGGGCTCTAATTTGCAGATAAATATTGTGATATGAAATGCTGTATGTATAGGTTCTTGCATTACCCTCCGTGGTTCTTCATATGAATACCACTATACCTATTTAATTATTAAGTCATTTGCCTGTTGTCCTTTAAAAGGCTGTCAAAGTACAAAACAATGAATGACAAATAAAATACTAATTTGAGTACCAGTGCTTGCTTATTTTTTCCACCCCTACTTAGAAGAGAAACATATTCATTCACATATTGTCTGATATATTAACAGACCATTTTAAAATGTGAACTTCTCCTGCTCCAAGCCACTACCCTGTTAGATACTCATCCTTGCGTAAGGTCCATAGATCTGTTATAATGGGATTTTCATAGCAGCCTACATCCAAGCTGGGAAGCAGGATCAGCCTTTAAATAGGACACCCAAAACAAGATAGGTTATATTTACATATCTTGTACACCTTCCCCTGGACACTATGGCATGGAGAAAGCTTCTGCCAAAAGAAAGGAATTACATTGGCTAGGATTGGATGACTAATATGCAGTTAGGTGCAGTTATGAATTGATGGAGACATGACTACCCTGCTCTGAGACTGAGGGCTTATCTTCACTGTGGGGGTAAATCGACCTAAATCATGCTATGTTATATACGTAGCTGGAGACAATGTAGCTTAGGTCAATTTACCCCAGTGCCTTCACGGTGTTGAGTCGACAGGAGATGCTCTCCAGTCAATTTCCCTTACTCTTCTCAGAAACCTGGAGTACTGGTGTCAACTGGAGAGTGCTCTGCCATCGATTTAGCAGGGCTTCACTAGACCTGCTAAACCGATCCCTACTGCATTGATTGCAGCAGCACTGATCTCTCTGGTAGTGGAGACCAGCCCTTAGAGTGCTCCTAAGGACCAGGGACTGAGAGCCATTGAACCAAACTGTATATAAGGGAAACCTCTTCAAGCCAGGGGTGTGGCAGCACTCCCAGTTCCAGCACCTATGCTAAGGACTGGACTTTGCTGTTTAACAAAGATGAAATATTTCTTGAATGTTGTGATGCATGGCCAGAAAGGGTTAAACATCCTGCAAAATAAATAAGCTTCAAAAGACGTGGGAAGATGTTGTTTGTGTTTTTGTGTATTTACATATATATGAGTAAGGTCAACAATGTAATCAACAGTCACTGTATGTTGTATTCTGTTAATTCAGAGATCAAAAGAACATCCTGGCATAGGATATCTCTATTAATTTATCTTTGAAATGTATAGTAAGTCATCTGTGAAGAGTGGCGAAACAAGCAAATTGCCTTTTGTTAATCCATATAGCTAAGTACCGATGATGGACCTCCTTCAAAGTCATCCTAATTATTTTTTATTCCCAGAGGAACTCCCAACTTGTCAAAGAGGACATGAAATTGTATAAAAGATCCTTGGGTCTTGATTCGGTCATCTCATATCTGCTTAAGCTTCATCGGGGGAAGTTTGAGTTGCAAGACTGAGATCCCAGTTATGCTGGTACACCCTGAATATATTTGAACATTGGACTATAACCTATGACCTATTTCTGAAAGAACTCTTTGCAACGACAAAGCTCACCATCTCTGCTGTGAATCTGAACCTCAGTGAATTGAACTCATGTCTGTATGTATATTAATCTTTTAACCATACTCTTATTTTGTAATAAATTTTAGTTTAGTTAATAAGAATTGGCTGTAGCATGTATTTGGGTAAGATCTGAAACATTCATTAACATGGGAGGTAATGTGTCTGATCCTTTGGGATTGGTAGAACCTTTTCTTTTATATGATTAGATAAGATGTTCAGAAATCATATTTGGCTTACGTACCTGGATGGAGGCCTGAGGCTGGATCACTTTAAGGGTGTGTTGTCTGGACTTCTGAGTAATGAGTAAGGTAATAAAGAAACTGTTTTGTGCTGGCTTGGTAAATCTAAGTATTGAAAATATCCACCAGCTTTTTGGGGAGTGTCTGCCCCATTCTTTGCAGTTCACCCTAATTGAGTGACCACACCTGGCCCCCACTGGAATCCCCGTCACAAATGTACTTGGGGAATAAATGCTATTACAGTAGTAAGGACTACCTGTCTGAATGATAATTACAATACTGATTCTTGTTAGAGAAAGCTACCAACTTAAAAAAAACTCCACTTCATTTGACTGGCGAGAATAGCCATCAGGAGGCCTACTCTAATGGACAAGAAGTATAATAATATCTCCAGTACAGGTTCAGTGGTTGTGCTCTGTGAACTTGCAAGGTTGGGACAGGATTGTTGTTCTAAAAAAAAAAAAAAGCATTTAATGTTGGGATTTATACAAAGCATCTTTTCTTTAACCTGCAGAACACATTATACTACAGAGACTTGACCCTTTTTTTACTTGGACACTCATACATCTAAAATAAAGCCCTCCTGGGGGAAACACAAGGCTATGTTCCACTGGTTTAATAAGGTAGTTAAACTATGGACTTTGCACCAGACAGCAAAATAAGTTCTCTTCTGGGGTCCATGGGAACACTGATCACTTCGTCCAAGTATTCATTTTAAATGTGCCCGGTCTCAGATAGAGCGTTGATCTCGCAATAGCAGACCTCCTCGGTGAGATAGAGACATCCAAAATACTGTTCTGAGAAGCAGTTGAAGAAAGTGGGAAGACTTATATAGCAGAGCCTTCATCCAGCTTTGCCAGGTGGATAACTAGGAACTGATTTGTCTGAGCATCTCATCTAAAGAACTAAAGCTTCCTATGCCTACAGGAAACAGATCTGAGACCCACATCCCCTTCCCTCCTTTTCTAGGGAGAAGTTCTTAGCCCAAGGAATTGTTTAGATTGACAGGAAGCATACTTGCAATCCTGCCTACCCACGTTAGCAGTGCTTATAAAAGCATACGGGGGTATTTAGCATGTCAGATGTTTCATATACTTCTTTATTTCTGTTGCCTTCACTTTTCATGCTGAAAATAGGCTGAGACAATGCCTGCCTGGACTTGGCTGTCTGTGAAGGACCTGTATAGTCAGCAGGCTACTCTTTCAAGTAAAAATCTTCTACAGGTAGAGAAAGTTACTCCCCTTGTGCAGTAACTGAGGTTCTTCGAGATGGTTGTCCCTGTGGATGCTCCACTTTAGGTGTCTTGGTGCTCTGCGCTTATAACTGGAGATTTGTAGTAGCCATGCCCTGGTTGGCTGCGCGCAGGCAGTAGCTATTTGCGCCACTCCGAGCGGTTACCCAGATGCACAGCCAACCGTTCCCCAGTTCCTTCTCTACCCCAGAGGATCGACGTGAAACTCTGAAGTAGAGGGGAGGGCGAGTAGTGGAGCACCCACAGGGACAACCATCTCGAAGAACCTCCGTTACGGCACAAGGCGAGTCGTCGTCGCCTCCTCCTCGGAGTGTCCCTGTGGGTGCTCCACTTTAGGTGACTGTAGAGCAGTGCCCCTCAGTGGAAGGGAGGGGCTTCAGAGTTGATTTATGTACACAGGAAAGCACCAAGAGTCCAAATTGAGCATCTGCAGCTGATTGTTGTTCTAATGCTTAGTGTTTGGTAAAGGTATGGGCTGATGCCCACGTAG